GGTATATATCAGTATGTAGTGTCTCTACTTTAAAGAGTCCTCTCCTGCTGATGTCCAGGTGTATATCAGTATGTAGTGTCTCTACTTTAAAGAGTCCTCTCCTGCTGATGTCCAGGTGTATATCAGTATGTAGTGTCTCTACTTTAAAGAGTCCTCTCCTGCTGATGTTCAGGTGTATATCAGTATGTAGTGTCTCTACTTCAAAGAGTCCTCTCCTGCTGATGTTCAGGTGTATATCAGTATGTAGTGTCTCTACTTTAAAGAGTCCTCTCCTGCTGATGTTCAGGTGTATATCAGTATGTAGTGTCTCTACTTTAAAGAGTCCTCTCCTGCTGATGTTCAGGTGTATATCAGTATGTAGTGTCTCTACTTTAAAGAGTCCTCTCCTGCTGATGTTCAGGTGTATATCAGTATGTAGTGTCTCTACTTTAAAGAGTCCTCTCCTGCTGATGTTCAGGTGTATATCAGTATGTAGTGTCTCTACTTTAAAGAGTCCTCTCCTGCTGATGTTCAGGTGTATATCAGTATGTAGTGTCTCTACTTTAAAGAGTCCTCTCCTGCTGATGTTCAGGTGTATATCAGTATGTAGTGTCTCTACTTTAAAGAGTCCTCTCTTGCTGATGTTCAGGTATATATCAGTATGTAGTGTCTCTACTTTAAAGAGTCCTCTCCTGCTGATGTTCAGGTGTATATCAGTATGTAGTGAACTAAACATTTGTTACCCGCATCAGAATGTCTCGAAAGGAAGCCAAGGTCCACGGTCTTCCGGGCGGAATAGCGCAGAAAAAAAAGAACGTGACAGAGTTCTGTCTCGGCTAGAATCTTATTATACGGTGCATCGGTTAGTCGTACAGCAAAATAACAAAAATTGTGCAACTTTACCGTTGCCACTTCTACTACAAGTACGCCTTAACACACTCATGGGAAACTTCCTGCTGTTAGTCACCTTTTCTGCGCTGTAGATATTCCGTCGGCCCAACGGCCAACACACACACACACACACAGCACACGTACACGACACACGACACACACACACACACACACACACACACACCACACACACACACACACAACACACACGACCACACACACAAGATGTCTTCCAGGTCAACACTTATCTGTGCAAACGGTGACACAATACCACGTCTCCACAGGTTTTTGTAAAGGTGACTCCCCGGAGTATGTCCTTGTCTATACTTCCTGACCTGTACGGAGTCTTCAGTCTTTCAGAGTTCTAACAGGCCCCCCAGCCCTTCACCTTTATCCGTTCTCAGTAAGTAATAACCGAAAGGAAAATAGTTAAATCTAAAAAAATTTATACAAAAGTTCAAAGCGGACTAAAAAATACTTTAACTCGTATGTGTAATTACAACACAATTATATAAACAATGTATAACTTCTTCATTCTACTATTTTGCTTCGGGTTCAAAGGGCACAACCGGTATAAGGTAATATGAAAATCTTAAACGACGCCCGGACTAAGTTTTGCTGGTAGCCCGGCGTAAACCGGGGGCCCGGTATCAAACCTGTACCTGTGGGGAAATATCACGACATAACACACACACACACACGACACACACACACACACAAACACACACACACACAACACACACCACACACACACCCAGATAGTCGGACTTCGCACGATGGAGAGAGGTACTTTGTGAAACCCACGTCGTAAGTCACACCTCGCCGTGTCACGTCTGACATCCCCGCCCTGAATCACAGGTCGTCTCCTACTGTCCGAACCGGCCAGTGATAGGACAGAGGGAAGTACCTCCAGAAGGGGGTCCTGTCTCGACCCACACGCCCCTGTGCAAAAAGTAGACCTTTGGGGATAATTTTTACAGGCGATAACTACAAAAGGTACACAAAGACGAGACTTTTGCGGCAGCGTAGCCTGAGGAAACAATAAGTTTTTTTTTACTTGTATCACCTGTAG